ATCTTATATTAAAAACCAGAGGTAGTACTCTTTCGATCTTTAATATAGGATTCAATTGTTGAGTTGATTTTGGTCCTAAATATAAAACTCATTTCTCATATTTTTATCAATTTTCTCTAAATTACCTCTATGGATACTCGCTCAACCATAATCAAGTAGAAGAGGAAGAGGGGTATTAAGAAAGATGATTATGGTATTTTAGGAAAAACATATCACATTTCTTATAATTAACTAACTTACCTAATTTTATTAATCTAATCAAATTAGTTAAATAAGTTTTATATTGAGGACCGAAGGAGTATCTTACAAGACTTGAGATTTATTTTTTTTAAAATTTTCTTCTCTTGGTTACGTAATGCGTATATTTGAGTTTAAAATAAGAAAAATCCCAAAAAAAAGTCCTTAGAATATGGGAAATTTTAGATTGGGTCTTGGAATTTCGGAAATGACAGAATGGGTCAGTGACCCAATGTGTCATTTGTCAAATTAAGAGGAATTGACAACTTTACCCTCATTTGCATTCATTCACTACAATGATTTAAGGAATTACTATAAGGGTTTAGGTGTTATCTAGATTCGTGTAGCGAATAACTACTCACTTTTTTATAGTCAGGTGTCTTGTTATTAACTACAACTAATTTTGTAATTATTAGAACAATGTAAGCATTACCTAGATTTGTGTAGAGAATAACTACTCATTTTTTATAGTCAGGTATCTTATTATTGTCATGTACCTTATTATTAACTACAACTAATCTTGTAATCACTAGAACAGTGTAAGCGTTACCTAGATTTGTTTAGAGAATAACTACTCACTTTTGCTTAGCCAGAGGCAAAATTGTCAATTCGTCTTAATTTCACAAATGACAGATTGGGTCAATAACCCATTCTGTCATTTTCGAAATTTAAGGACCCAATCTGAGATTTAGTATATTTCAAGGGCTTTTTCTGGAATTTTCCCTTTAAAATACCCATATTTGTGGTCTTAGAAAAGGAAAACATGCGTTGTTATTACTTATGACACCAGTAATAATTTTCTTACAACTGGTTTAAAAAAAAAATTCTTACAAGGTCAACATAATAATGATTTTTCTTAAAAGATTACGTCCATAGTTTGTGACGATTTGTTTTGAATTTTAAACCTTTTATAATATGGAAAAAATTAGCAGAATGTTATTAAAAAAAAAAGATTGCGCATCACTTATGCAGTTATGCTCTCAAATGTCATTGCAGAAGATACCAGTGAACCCCTTAGTCGTTTAAAACAGGGGTTTATCATGGTGTATTCTTTTACTATTGTTGTTGTTATTTATTCCCCAAAAAAAATGTGGAGACAAATTAGACAAATCAAAAGAATAAAAAAGATCAGTAAAGCTTTACATTTTTTTATTTATGAATATTGTGATTTCCTTTTTTTTATATTTGTTATTATTGATTATTAATGTTGATTTATCAATTAAAAATAAAAAACAAAATGTATACCAAATTACAGAATTCACATTGATTTGTTGATACTATTATACTTTTAAATGGTCGTGCTTATAACAAATTTATAAACTTAAATAGCACACTTTGGCAAATAGTTATATCACAATATGCAAATATTTGATACTCATTCCATGATAATTTTGGCCCTGAAAATAAAAAAACAAGATCATGGTTATTCAACTATAATTAATGATATGATTTCATAATTTTGGCGAAAAATTATAACTACAATTTTTCTGTAACTGCAAGCATTAGGAATATTGAAATTCTCGTAGAAATTACCTTTAATTGATTATAAAAGAAAATAATAAAGAGAATCTATCTATTATATTTAAAAGAAGCAATTTAAAACGTTATTACCTACTTCTTATTATCAGTATTATTACGGCCATTTAATTTTAATAATTTGACGTAACGGTAATACAGTAGTACATATCATGTGTACCCCACCTCTGTTTGTCCGCCTCTGAACTCGCCATTCCGCTCACTCTTCTTTATCTATTCCCTCTCTCTAGTCATAAGCCTCACCACTCCATGCTGATCGCTTATCCATTTTTTGCCTTAAAAAGCTGAGATTTTTTTCCTGCCTTTTTTGGGAGATTAGTTCCTTTCCTCTTTCACTCTATATTTGTCGGAATTTCCTGCCTCCAGATGCAGATTCCGGGTCGTTACTGTGTGTTGGTTTCTGTATGCTCTGTTATTGAGTTGTATGTTCTCCGAATTTTGGTGGGGTTTTGGGTGATGGATGTTGCTTCGATTCTGAAGTTTTTGAATAAGGCGAGTGAAACTGGATTTGGGTTTTTCCTTCGAGTAAGTTTCTTCCGGGTTCTTAATGGATTGGCGATGCTCTTGATTTTTGTGCTGTGTATGAAGTTTTTGCATTTTGGTTGGCATTTCAAGGGTTTGATGCGTTTTCTTAGTGAATTCGGATCGAAACCCAGAAATGGGTTTTGTTTTAAGGATGGTGTCGTTGAAGTTTGTGCCTCGATGATCACACATTTGAAGTTTGGCCCACTGGAATCTTCTCTGAATCCGAATGTACTGAACAAAAACCAATCAATCTCTGGCAAAGAGAACGCGAAATCCAACGATGATGCTGACACAGATTTCGATATCTCTGAAGAGAAACACCATAATGAAAGTGAAGTTCATGATGAGGATCAGGAAATCGATGTAATAACATTAAGAAAACTGGTGAAGATTGAAAGGAAGCGCGCAGACTCAGCCAATGCAGAGCTTGAGAGAGAAAGGAGAGCCTCTGCAACAGCGACAGAGGAAGCAATGGCGATGATTCTTCGTCTTCAGAGTGAGAAAAGTTCAGTAGAAATGGAAGCAAATCAATTCCGCAGAATAGCAGAGAAGAAGCAACAATATGCCCAAGAAGTGATTGAATCATTACAGTGGATTATTATGCAAAACGAATCTCAGATTAGTCTGTTGGAAGATAAAATGATGCTGTATAGAGAAAAAATGAGACAATACGTGAATGACGATGAAATGGAACAGTTTGAAGAGCCTCATGATGATGATGATGCCCATAAGGCCTTTCCAGATTTCTCTGTGGATGATGATCAATATGACCCACTAATTAGCTGACTTGAAATGTAATAACAGAACTTGTAAGTACTGAAGTTTTCTTGCTATACAGAATATATTCAGCTTCCTTTTCTTCTGACCTGTTTCTGTTCACAAATGTATATTGTACTTATAACAGCGATCATTAATAATAGAGGAGGCTTATATAAATTTGTCATATACTTTTTTCTTTTGGGACAACTTTTTCATTTGCTTCTCCTTTCATCAGTAATTGCTCTCAACTTTGTAAATGGATTTCACTGAAGCACTTTACACAGCAAGTATACTAGTCACTTATGTTTTGATTTTTGAGATTCCCCATCAAGCAATATATAAGCCTTCGCTGCTTTCTATGACTGTGTGTCTACAAGTTAACGTTCAAAACAAATGAAAGCTAGGAGAAGAATTGGAATTCTTATAGCGGGATATACTCCGTCAGTGACTGTGAAGCGGTGAGATAATGAATTACAACGTCTTTATCATGTATTCAATAAAAGACCATCATGAACAAACATGACAATATGCTACCACAATTTTATTCTGCGAGACTCATTTAACAGATGTTTATGCATTGGTTTGAAGGTTGGCTTGATACGTAATGAATTTTTTTCATCTCTCTTGCAAGAAACGTGGTCTCAGTTTATTGTTAAAAGGACATGTCATCTTGAACTCCGGCAAACAAGGCTAGATTCAATTCTAGAAAGGAGTAAAGCAAGTTTAAAGCAAAGTGAGGTATCAATATTAATACTATAACAACAAGCTTTATGTCATCTGGTGGAATAAGACTACATAGATAGCACAACGCTATTGAATTATATCAACAATCAAATCTTTAAATGTATTATTGACTAAAAAGTCTTGTTCAATAACCTAATTGACTGTTCTCCTTGATCTTCCTCCGTCTCTTATAAATCAATATTAATACATAAATGTAAAATATATGATAGAACATCAAACTACTTATAAGTCACAACTCATTTTAAATTTGTTTTGAAACATGGGGCCCAACATCTAATTGATTGAAAAAAGAAATATACCGAATAGATAGAGCACCATCTCGTTTTTTTCCTGATAAACATAAACTAATCAACTTTTGCTATTAGAAAAAGTTAAAAGACCACGATAACATCAGAACCAATTGTCTCAAGATTCCAAAAATTATTGACGTTACCATTAGACTTGAATTATTTTTAACACTTGTGAATCTCCTTTCAAGACTGGTCTTCTCCTTCCGAGACTTATTTAAGTAAGTGAGGAACCACTTGTTGAAGCACGCAATATTCAGGTCTGAACTGCCAACATCCAAAAGATCCTGTTCCTCACAGATCCCACCATAGAGCTTTCCAGATAGCGGCATTAACGCTTATCTTTCCTTGTATATTGGAATCTGGCAGCCACCCAAGTGACCTGACGAAACTATCATTGAATCTGACCCCTATAAATTACCCAAAAAAGGGACCTCAATGAGTAACTTGCTTCGCTTCTTAACCTCATTTTTTTCAAACTCTTACGGTCCAGCCTCCTGTTCCTGTCGCAGGACTATAATTATGAATAGCCACCTTGGTCTGCTTGTCAGTACACCTACATCAGACCGGTCTCTAATATGGCCACAAGATCACTAAAGTAGTTGCTTGAATCTCTTTAATGTACAATTTGTTTTCCAGCTTTCCAGATACAGAGAATTAGAATAATATGGGACTTTACCTGGCACACCTGTTTTCGGTAGTTTCAGCTTCTATAACTCCATCCATAGTAACTCCGTGGGCCACTGCAGATAGTGATGAATTTTACATAGGGCCACCACAGATGGTGATGAGAGTCTTTTGCATCGCTAAAGCACCATTTCTTGCTATCCTTAATACGGGCATTTTATAGTCTGATCCAGCCTGCTGCATGAAAGAATTCAGAGCCGTTCCACAACATCGTTTTCATAACATCTAATTTCCTGTCTCAATTTGGCTGAATCCATAGCATTTCTTTAATCTTCGGAGTTTCATAAATTCTCTCCCTTGTTTTATATCATGCCAACGACCATGTTCCGCATAAATCATATTCAACAAGGTATAATTGGCAGCATTTTCTGGTTCAGATCTTATAAGGTGTGGGGCCAGCATTTCTGCAATATCCAGTCTTCCATGAAGCTTACAAGAAGATACCAGAGAGCTCCAAATTCGTGCACTAGGTTTCATTGGCATCATTGTCACTATCTCCAAAGCATCTTCAATCATCCCTGACCTTCCTAGAAGGTCAATTTGGCATGCATAATGCTCTATCGTTAAAGGTAATTTGAAATCTTCACTTATTTGTTTGAATAACTTCTTTCCCTCAGCTACAAGGCCAGAATGATTACAGGCAGATAAAATAGCAAGGAAACAGATGGAATCTGGCTTCACTCCTTTGTTTTTCATATCATAGAAAAGTTTTAAAGCTTCTTCACCACATCCATGCAGGCCATAGGCACTGATCAAAGTACTCCATGAAACTGAATCTTGCTTCGGCATCTCTTGGAATATCTTGTGTGAACCATGAAAGCAACCACACTTAGCATACATATCTATGAGTGCATTGCCGAGGCAGATATCAGAATCTAAGCCAAGTTTCAAGATATAGCCATGGATTCGACAACCATGCCTTAGAGAAGATAAGATAGTGCAAGCAGAAACTACAGCCAGCATTGTCACAGAGCTTGGTTCAATTCCCTCCAACATCATCTGTCTGAAAAGCTTCAAGGCACTATAACCATCCCCTCTTTGAGAATAGCCGCCGATCATTGAACTCCATAAAACCACATCTCGATAACTTGACTTTTTGAAAATTAACTCAGCAAGATGAAATGATACCTCAAATTTAGAATACATATTCATAAGAGCTGATGAAAAACTATGGTCTGATTCAAACCCACTACGGAGTGCATAACCATGAATCTCCTTTCCATGCTTGACAAGGCCTTGCTCTGCACAAGCTTGTAATAAAGAAATGAATGTTACTCTATTTGGTTCAACTCCCTCACGCTGCATTGCTCTGAAAAATGCAAAAGCTTCCTCATAATCTTGATCACAACTGTACCCAGATATCATAGCTGTCCATGAGACCTCATTTTTCACCTTCATTCCATTGAATACACGCGAAGCCATTAAAGAATCATTGCTTTTAAAATAGAAATCCATCAAAGACGTTGACAGAAAAACTGACTCTTTTTCTTCCATTCTCTCATCAGCAATAACAAGACCGTGAATCTGTCTTCCTATTCTTAAACCTATTTTTCCGCACATGGATAACAAACCCGCTAACAACTCTGGTTTGGGAACAAGATCAAACGAGTACATCTCCTTTAACGTTTCCAAAGCTTCTATGACATATCCATTTTGTAAATAACAATTTATCATGGAATTCCAAGTGATGGGGTCTCTGTGAGGCATCTTGTCGAACACTTTACGTGCCGATTGAGCATCTGAGAACTTGGCGTACATAGAGATGATGGAATTGGTCAAAACAGTCTCTGAATCCAAGCCTGTCTTGATAAACCCACAGTGAAGCTGGGAACCGAAACCGTGACACTGCGCGAAAGAGCATGCCTTTACGACTGATGGAAGAACAGAGAAAATGGCGTAGAAGCCATGGACATGAAGTTCCTTGTAGAACTCAAGCGTTTGGTCATAAAGACCCTTTGAAACCAAACTTTTAATATGGTTTGATGATGAAGAAACTGCCGCTGAGGAAGTTACAAGTTGCGCAGGTGGCAATGTTAGTTTCATCGGCGAAGATTCAGTGTATGCATAGCCGTTAGCTGCTCCAATTTCTGATCAGGTGTCCTAATAATTCTTGCTCTAGTTGCATTATTGGTTTTTCCGTTTTACCTGATGATATTTGAAAGATGATATAATTTTCAGAGATTAAAGGACATTAATTTCATAATTCATAGTTTTATAATCACGTAAAAGGTAACATCCATGCTTTCGAAATATTTTTTCATATATATCTAGCACCCTAAAATATTTTATAGTATATCTAACATTCTGAAACATTTTTTAAGTGCATCTAACACTCTTAAATATCTATTTTGTCTTAGTGTTAGATATACCAAAAAAATATTTTTTTCTGCACCTAAAATATTTTGGGTGTTGAATGTATTAAAAAATATTTTAAAATGCTTATAATCTTAAAAAAAAATATTTTAAAATACTATATACATAGTAAAATATTTTAAAATAATTACTTCCAACTGCTGTGTGCATACCTTTATTCTTGCGTAAATGCTGCTTAAAATTCATAATTAATTGGTCAACAGGCGGCCCAGGCCCAATATTTGAGGGAGAACGACTAATGAAGTTCGGTTTCGGGGCAGAATTGTCGCCATTGACAGATACTTGACGGAGAAGTGGGATTCGTCGCCGGAGGTGAGCGTGGATACAGAAGCGATTCAATACCGGTGCGTTAGTGTGCGTAGGAAGGGAAATTATTTGCTTTCTAAGGTTCGCCTTTCATATATCTGAATCTCTCTTGTCATGGAACCTTTCAACAATGCGATTATAGCTGCTGCCTTTGGCTATTACATCTGTGAGCAAAGATTTTCTTAAGAGAGGACAATTTGCTGATTTCGGCTGCACAAATTTGTTCTTCTTCTTCTTTGCAAATAATTTCTTTCTATCAATCTGTGTAACCATTTTAATGTTCCATGTATGCAAATTAATTTTCAATGCGTTCAACTTCTTCGATGCATCATACTGCAACCTTCTTCTCCTTTCGACGAAATTAATTTTAAGTTGGGTCTATTTAACACAACCATAATCCTTCTTGGGTTACTGGACAGAAGGACATACCAGCTGCTTCATATTTTGTAAGGCCAAAAAAAGACACTTAGTGAAGTTTTTGAAATAGGTCTTGCTAACAATACATCCAACGGTTGCTGACAATATAACCAATGTAGCCGACTCCACCTAATCAGATAAAGCTTCTTGTTGTTATCGTCATTATAAGTTCATTGTTATATTGTATATGCCATCTGTGATTTCATCCTTTTTATATGAGAACTCCGTTTTGTCACCTGTGGATGTGGATGTAAGAAATTACAGAACTACATTTGATTGCTTGAGCTGGATATCAGCATATGCATTAGAATAAGCATGAACTATTTTACAGGGATGCTGTTTTCTTTTCTTGCTTGATTGGTGCTCTTTTGTTCCATGGATTGATCTGACTAAGGTTTTGTTTTAATCAAATAAACTTGTTAAACTATTTTACAGGAACGCTGTTTTCATTTCTTGCTTGATTGGTGCTCTTTTGTTCCTTTGATTGGTCTGACTAAGTTTTTGTTTTAATCAAATAAACTTGTTAATTAGCAGGTACATGCTTGATTTTACTGAGCTTATTATTCACCCTTCTGTTGCACATGAATTCTAAAATTGAAATGATGATCAAGAATCATGATTTCCCAGAAATTTTTCCTTTATAAAAGGTGTTGCTGTCTTACATTGTCTCTACTTCTTGATGATCATTCCGTTGCTGAGATAACTTTTCAGGTATTGAGTCTTTTAGAGGCATGGATACTCCGAAGAACCAACAGGAGAGGCAGACTTCATCGGCTGGTACAGCCTCACCTGTTCCCTCGTGTCGAAAGAAGAAGAATGAGCAAGCTACTTTTTGGGAAGATGTGAAGGATCACATTGATGAGTTTGTCAATGCTTCTATGGAAGAACACAAGACTTGCTTTCAGAAAACCATTCAAAAGGTTTGACTCTAGAAAGCTTTTTTCCTCAGGAACTCTCGTATATTTGCATTACCTTCTGGTTTTGCCTTTGAACTGTCTTATGATATTGTGTGGTTATGGATCGTTGCAGATGTTTGGTTTGTCCAAAGTTGTTGCACAAAGGAACTCTGATGCTGCCAAAGAAGTTGAAAGCTCTCTGCCTCTTCAGACAACCGTCCAAGAGTAAAATCCAAGACTTTTGACCCTTTCGTTTGGACTATATATAAATATCCTACTTCTGGACAAATTAGAAACAAATAATCGTTAAACTTTAATTATAAGTTGGAGAGATTATATTAAAAGAATTCATAGAGAGCAATACTATTCATTAGACATGAGTGGTACCATTCATTTTTAGACTTTATGCAATGTATAAGTCTCTTAATCTAGTACAGTTAAATGCTGGGAAGCTGTTTAAAACCAAAGAGTAAATTGAAGCAGCTTCATCTTTGGGTTTGCCAGCTATGTGCTCCTTCCCTGCTTGCTTTTATATTTACATTTCTCAATATGCCAAATGTTGAATTGGGTGCTAGGTTTTTACAAAAGGAAAAAAAAAAAAGGGGGGATTGGAGGTTTGCTTAGTTTGGTAGTATAGTTTAATTTCAACAAGCCGGTGTCTTGCTATTGAGAAGTGAGCAGTTTCATGACACGGTGCTTTATGACTAGTTGACTAGTTGTTCAGTTGGGTGTTATGAATGTCCTAAATAGTGCCATGTCGAATTCAGCTTATGCATCTTTGTGGAAAAGAAGCCAATTGTTAGCAAGGCTTGTTTGGATTAATATGTTGTGCAAAAGTGAGTTTAATTATCGTAATGTGATTTACATGAAGATACTTTTTGGTCAGTTTAATATAAACTTAATTCGACAATATATTAAAGTGAAAGGCCACTTTTATGAGAAAGTCAAAAGCTCCAAAAATCGGTTTTGGTTTTAACTTATTTTGGCCAAAGGGCTATTTAATCTCAAAGCCATTCAAACATCATTAGGGCTCAATTGGCTTTTTGGATTCGAAAGTCGGTTAAAATAACCAAAGGTCATCCAAAATAAAGCCAACTGACCCGTAATACATTAAATTTAATTTTGGCTTTGGAGTGTCAGATGAATGAATTCAATAATTACAACACAAACACAAACTTAAACGATTCATGAGAAGGAGAAAAGAGTGAAACGCTAATGACCTTCGGTTCTAGTGGCACCAACCTACCAAGGTCATGGATCCAAACATGTGCTATTATGTAGAAGCGTGTTTTATGTGTTAATATATCTGTGTGTTCCCTAAATCAAAATGCTCCCTAAACGCAAGTTATTAAATATAAAGCAATGCAAATTATTGCGATACACTTGTTCCCAAAATTTAGACATGGCTTCAAATGTTTGAATTTCACATGATTTGAAATCTAAATTAATGTAATTGGGGAGTTACCACCCCAACAAATTAATAACTAATTAATTTGCAAAAATGAGGAGTAAAAGACGTTGAGTTTTTTTTGGCATTTTCAATTCATTGCACAACTTTTCCCAAAAATTTTACGCTTCTTACGTGGTGAAGTCTGCCAATTTTATGGCTTTAGAATTATAGGATGCACCTAATTTCATCTTTGCACCCCTGTTTTTATATATTATATAGACATCATATGCCGCCTAAATAATATATCAACATCCAAATTAACTAAGAAATATGAGATATATGACAGATAACCAATGATATTTCATGTTTGAATAAAATCTTTAATTTTTTTAACATATATGATACATTTTATGTTTTGTTATTTCAAATCCCTTTTATTGTTTAACAATTTTTAAGATAAATGATTGACCAAATTCGAATTCAATGTTTTGTTTTTGTTTTGGTTTCGCCAGCAAAAGGTGGATATATATATTTATATATATATATATATATATATATATATATTGTTCAACCAAAAGGTGGATATAAGAAATGTGAGATATATGAAAGATAACCAATAATATTTAATGTTTGAATAAAATCTTTAATTTTTTTTCTTGCATATATGATGCATTTTAATGTTTTATTATTTCAAATCCTTTTTATTGTTAAACAATTTTTAAGATAAGTGATTGACCAAATTCGAATTCAATGTTTTGTTTTTGTTTTGGTTTTGCCAGCAAAGGGTGGGGGCGCGCGCATTGTTCACCCAAAAGGTGGATATAATTTCAACGAAATAAAAAACCAAACAGTAGCGTGAGTCAAAACAGAAAACAGCATATTCTTAACTTCAATATTTAATATTAAACAAGAAAACGATTTTTTAAATTAAAGAGTCAATTTTCATTACAACGGGAAGAAATAGAAGAAACAATACTCAACAAACGTGAATTAAAAAAAAAAAAAACGTATGCTGACTTGACTTCTAGTTCGGTGGTTATTTTGAATTTAACTAAGAGATATCATAACTTTCCAATCAAATAAATCAACAGAAAAATTTAAATTCTTACAATAAATAATCTCAGATAATATAACATTGCCAACTATATACGCTAACTATAATGATTTCTACATACTATTCTATTCTAATAATTTTCAAAGAAATATGTTAATTTAATTCTATTTAAGTATAAAACAGGCCTAATAACGTCATTTGCTTTTTAAAAAAATTAAATAAATTATTCTTTTACCTTTAATTAGTAAATTAGTTTTTAATTATATTTTATTATAACAGTCAGGATCATGCAACAGTAACGATAATGACAAATCCTCATATTGACACATTCATTTGTATTCTTATATATTCAATTAAGTAATTACTACAAAATCCCTAAGATATGCAAACGGAAAAGAATTCAACTTCATATATTCAACTTTATATCAAAAAAATCCAAATATCAAATCCTAACATTCCCATATCTTTATATATATATATATATATATATATATTGGCTCTCATGATTCATAGATCAAAAGCTCTCACACAGGAAATTCATCAATACATTAAGACCTTTCAACCACAAATGAAAATCCTCTATAAGTTTTATCAAGTGATGTTAAAGCCATGGTTATCATTGTTGAAGAACAAGAGGAAGAAGATTGAAAAAGGTTTCGTCCCAATCAATGTGGGTGAAAAGGAGGAAGAAATGGTTCGTTTTATGGTTCCAATATCTTGTTTTTCATCAAACATGTTTCAGATATTCTTGGATGAATATAAGGATTACGTTCAAAGCATAAGCCAAGGTCCTATACGCTTGCCCTGCTGTGTAATAAGGTTCGAGAAAATGCTTTACACTATTATCAAAGACGATAATGTCATTACTAGAAAATAGTGACAAGTTTTACCCTACTAGATAAAGTTGGCTAAGTCATTAATCAATTCTTTATATTTATCATTTATTACTATATATAATTGATAACTTTCTTAGGTGTTCTCTTTATTGATGTTTATATATATTGTATTTTAGCATATTCTAAATTCAAATTTCTATTATTTTTCTTAATTATTTATGCCATATTCTTTTGAGTTTATGTATATCATCCCTGTTTCAGATCCGCACTTATTCTTACTGACAGCAATTTTATCATATTTGGAGTTCAAGAGAAAATTGTATTGTATAGGATATAACACAATTTCAATTCCTTGTATATTTTAGTTCAATTTATGGTAATCTGAAAAAAAAATTTTAAATTATTATCTTCCATTCTTTCTCACATATCGCTTAAGACGTTTAGTTCATGTCAATATATAGACAAACGAGCTTTCCGAGGAGACGTTGCCCAACAATAGCTAAGATAAATGAATTACTTTACTTAATTTTAAATTATATACAAAAACAATTTTTGAGCAAAAAGATTATATACAAAGACTACATCGAATTAAAATTATAAGGAACACATGATTAATTTCTCCAACATGGCGGTACAAAGGCTAAAAGCAAACGAGGCATTCATTTCCTAATGAGGGTAGACATAAATGCGTGATTTCATGGACACTTTTACAAAATATACATGCCCCTTCACAAAATTTTTCATGGGAGCATAATTAAGTCAACTCGAGATACTTATCTTACAATGATTGGCAGAAAGATCTAGATTATCATTTTAGCTCTGTAAATGTGGGGTTTGCACGTCTATATGTTTACTCAGAATTTCTGTGAGATACTCAGCTTGTTCGAATGACCCTTGAAGTTCCTCCCACTACAAGGAAACAAAAACAATGTTACCTTATTTTTCTCAGACAAAAATGATTATCACCGTTAAATATCAAGTTCTTCAACTTGTCAAGTTGACAACCAAACAACTACATTGCCATATAATGCATATGGAGCTGCTAAAACTTTATCTCATCATGAAATAGAATGATTGGTGTTATTTAATAAGCAAGAAATCTAGCATGGAGCATCGCAACATAACATACAAAAAACTGAATTGTTCGTGTAATGATAGGGAAATGATATGGGAAGCTGAGTGGTTAAGCTGGTTATTATCACCTACCAAGCTAGGAATGGAAGTTAGTTGATGAACCTAATCATAAAAGGGTCAAGCATTGGCAGGACAGGCAGTTTAATTGATTGATTAAGTTTTCTTCTCGAATCTCTTCCTCTCTTTCTTCTCTTTTCTATCTTTCTTTATAACATGTAATTTCATGTCATCTTCTATTTAAATGTCTGGAATGAGTTGAGCATAGGCATTTCTTTGTTTTTGAAGCGTCCCAGCTGGTCAGCTTTCGTACTCGTTAACAAAGATAAAATGGGACAGATGCAAATAAAGGATTATGATAGTCAATCTCTAATCACATAATATCATAAATTTGCAAAGAAACTTTGGTTTGGGTTCTGTATACAGACTGTGTTAACACAATACAAACTAATCTAGTGTATGGTAGCAACTAGCAAGCAAGCAATTCAGTAATAGAAGCATATTAACATATAGATTCAGGACCACAGAACCCAAAAAATGGTGTTATACATTCTACTTCATTTCTGTTCTCTAGATTATATTGATCCCAATTCTCAATTTTCTACTAAAAAACTATCAGTATGGTAGAAGTAAGATAAATAATTACCAAGAAATATAATATGTAAGAAATTACCTCTTGAAGAGACAATGATATAACTTTCCAGCCAGCAGCAGTAATGTATCGACGTTTCAGCATGGCATGTCCTAGAGGCACACCTACATCAAGAAAAGAAAAAAATTAAACTGACATCAAGGGAAGTTTTGGTTCAATAAGAAAAATGAAGGTTGTACAATTTTTCCAAATGCCTGTACAAATTTATTTTACAGAAATAAACCCTCTACCAGTATTTCTTGAGAAATGAGTTGGGCCATCAATCTCCAGAGCAAGCTTCTTATCAATTACTACAGCATCCAAGGTGTAAGCATCCACAACATATTCTTTCACCCATTCAAGGCCGGTGCTAACAAGAAGACGTCCAACCTCTTTCTGAAATGAAGAAGTCATTTTCTGATTAAATCTCTTAGTTTTTCCAGCACGAGCAACTTTACCCTCAAGCTCACTGCTTAAAGATAGCTGAAGATGTGGGAATTCAAGCTTCAAGCACTGGTTGACAAGCTGAACCTGAGAAGCAAACATGACATCCTCCCTATATTGCTCTGAAATCCTTTGCTCCTCATAATGACTCAGAGTTTTCCAAACAAGCGAGAAGAAACTCCTATCCATTTGTCCAAATACGGCATAGGACCAAGCTATATTCCCAAGCTGATCCCTAGAGAAGGTGAGGACAGGAGAGACAAGAGATTCACCTAAGTCAGGATTTGCATCACTGATGATTTGTTTAAAATGATCTGATGTTTCTTCACTCATAGAATATTTAAATTGGCTTTCATCCTGGAAAACATCGTCTAGAGAATCAAATATAGGGTCTGCAGGTTCATATAAAGATGCAAAAGCCCACAAAAGCTGGGCAAGTTCTTGCTCTTGGAATGTAAGAATTAAATCTGAAGCCCTTCTAGATAATTCAAAGAAAAGATCAGAAGCAGAGTGCTTCATCGAAGCAAAAGCACCAGCAATATTGGCAACATTTTGAGAATTGAATTCTCCTACCTTGGTCAATGCAACCTCTGCAATTCTATCCATTTCAGAAAAATATAGCAGTTCACCTCCAATTTTTGACAAAGCCCAAGATATGTTAGAGATACCTTGTGCAGAGCAGTCATGTAATGCCGTCATTGCAATACTCACAAGCATAGACATCTCTCTTTGTCGAGCGAAAGCCAGTCTTCGAGATTTCATCATAGATACTTTCTCCATGTTCTTAGCAATACGATGAAGAGCAGTAGCAATATTCAAAGGAGAGAGTGGTGAGGGACTTAAGCCTTTTGCAACTGCCATGATAGTTTCAGAGGTGAACTCCAATACTTCTTCTGCAGTCTGTGCTTCTGTAATTGCTTTGTTCAAGTTGATTTCTTTCCTACGGTCAGATGGTCCAGAGAACTGAGACAGCCTATGGACAAACTCTTCCATTGTTTTCTCCTTCTTTTCCGAAAATAGTCCATCAGCCATCAAACTAACTGACCTTTTCAAATCATCAACATTGTCCAGAGGTTTGTTAGCTTGTAACACCAAGTCTTCCTCTGAACTATAATCAAGATCATCATCCAAATCCTCAATTTTCTCAATTTTCTCAATTTTCTTTTTTGTCAATTTCTTCTTGCTCTTGTTTTCCTTTTTCTTTTTAACAGAGATCAAATCTTCCAAAGTATGAGCCATGCCTCTGGCCTCAATTGATTTAAGTGCAACCTTTCTTGCTCTCATACACCAATCCATTCCATCAGTTTCTTCAAGCAACTTTGATTTCTGTTCTTTCTTCCTCTTCTTGGGAGCTTGGTAACCATAGGGGTCAAGTTCCCCAACGAACTCTGATTCCCAGTCCACAGTTGATTCTTTACCTTCATCATCTCTATCCAATGCGGCAATAGTAGTTCTTCTGGAGATAGTGGCAGGGTCTCCACCTAGAAATGTGCAATTACTTCTCCCGGGATGGGGCTCAATTTTAAGTTTGAAATGACAAGCTCTGGTAATCAGAGGGAATGTACAACTAAATTTTGGAGTGAAACCAGGTTTTAAACAACTTTGATTAAGTAACGAATTCAGTATCCCTTCCATACTTGGTTTCCTGATGCTCTAGAAAACTGATTAGTTAAACCATGCAACTCAACTGAAAAGCTCGTTACAAAAAACCTTCTTTCCCACTCCCTCCCTATTAGTTAGCAGAATGTGATAGATCAGAAGTAGTCCTTGCAGAACATAGCAACCTGCAAATATAAAATGGTTCATCTTTCAATAAAATAAGCATGAGGAAACAACAAGACATCATAAAACATATCCGTCTGAATTCCAAGTTAGTTTTAATTATAAATATAGCCAAAGACGAATCAACAAAATGAATATGTGAAATGATTCTAATAAATATCACTACAGCTCAACCAAACCTTTGCTCACTCTTTCACTCATCCTGCCGTCACATAGAAGTGATTCTTTATGGTTATTTTCCTGTCAACATCTCAGAACTCAAGGAACCATTCCATTACTTCAAACCAAACCCAACAAATGAGGATGCAATTCCACCATAAGAAAGAAGCTAAAATGCATGGGTGCTGAGATGGACATGGACACTGACATAACTAGAGGTTGATGGCACCAGCCAAGGCATGCCGTTGCAATACAGGTTCACACACACTCACAAAATAAATATTAAATACAAGTAGAATAACATGTATATGGAAAAATATTACCTCATTCATAGCACAACCCGTGATATGTACGATAACCCAAAATCCAGAATAAATTACATAAATTTTAAAGGCTCAGACAAACAACATCAACAAAAATAATCAAAGTGAACGTCATAAAAAATATTGTAATTGTCCAAGCCTTTAAATTCCTCTGCTTTCATTTCTTATGAGTTTGCCTCCTCCTCATCAACGAGATCCACAAGAGTAAAGGAAGTGATGTAAATATTTCCTATTTCTGTTTTCGGGGTAGGAGACTTGGTCGAAGATTGCCAGGTCTTAGCTCCAGGAGCATTATCTACGTCACCTTAAGTCAACTCATCACCTTTGTATGCATTCTGCATCCAAATCTTCATCCATTTTGCCAAGCAGTCACTCATTGCTACTATTAGAATCTTTCTAGGATAGGGGGCTCAGATCTCTCTCTTATGTAATCTTTTCTTCCAGTATAAAAAATATAACAGGAATGGAGAGACTTACTTGAGGTTATTATGTATCTTCTTTCACAATCCTATAATACTTACAAACACGAGGTCTTTCAACTATAATGGCAAGCCTATTATGTTATTTCTTTTGGTATGGAGCTACGGTATTATGACAAAGCAAAGTAATTTTCCTTTATCAGTAAATGTAAGTGAAAACTTCGTTTTCATGCCTTATTTGACTTAAACATTCAAGCAAACTCTGATTTCTTCCATACCTGATTTCTTTCACCTCCTAAAAACACATGATAAAGGTTGCGCCAAATCTAGTTTTTCAGACCTCAATAACTATCACCAGATTCATACAATCCGAAGTTTAGATACCATACCATAGAATAAATATAAAATTAATTTTGCAAAAAAGAGGATGATGCAAAATCAGTTGCATTTAAAAATGTATACTGTTTGATTCTGAAGAAAAAAGATACATAAGAGATGGCAATAAAATTCTGAAAAATCAAAAATCAAATGTAACCAAATCATACGAAAATCCCACCTGACAACCAAAAATCAGCAAAATGAACTGGAAACAAAAAGGACGAACAAACCGCTGCCCTATCTTAACTACTAGAAAGAAGCAGTAAAATGAACTAGAAACTGGGTTGAAGGATGGAAATCAAGAACCTTGTTACAAAAAAGCAGCAAATGAACAACGTCGTGCAGCAGTAAGCAACCACGCGAGATGTCAGCAACAGCCAGGAATGACTAATTTGATGTAATAAGGAAATGCATCGAGACGGAGCTACCTTATCGCGACTCTTGAGTAGACGAACACGAACTCACTCCCCTGCGACTTTTTTTTTTTTTTTTTTTTTAGGGGATAAACACTCCCTGCGATTTTTGGAGCAGGGAACACCGCGAGAAACGAGACTGACGACGGGGCCTGGATTTGATTTTTTTTTTTAAAATAAAATTATGCATATCTGATAATTAATAATATTAATAAGTAACTATTATCTACAATAATTAAAAATTATTTTATTGTTTTTATTAATGATATTTGATATATTTATTTTATTGATGGACTATTGAATAAATTTTCAAATATTTATAATTTTATTTATTTACAGCATGTACAATTAATAATTGTACATTTTTTTGGAATAAATAACAATAATAACAGTAAAAAGATAAAATTGTATGTATGCCTAATTATAATCCATTCAGAAGTAAGAATAAGGTTTTTATAATTAAAATAAAATAGAAATATGTCAATATATTTTATTTGTAAAATTATAATGTAATATAAAATATCTAAAATATAAAATTCATAATAATTTCAAATATTAAAATGAATTTTTTCCCTTTTAGAAGTGAGGTGATTTATAATTTATAACCGTAGTTCAGAATTCACAATAACTTCAAATATCACTGAAGACTTGTTTGGAATTGCAATTGAATTGTTGAAAAGTAACTTTTTAATAATGAGAAAGATTTTGTCTTAACATAGATGAAAATGTTTATAAGGATCTACAGTTACAAATAAGCCTAGGTTGTCAATATTTTGGAGGAGTTGACAAGCTGTAATTACTACTACTTACAGTCCTTAATATAATAATTTGTTTAACTTTTGTTTTAATCTTAAATATAAGATCTAAATTTATTTTGTCTCTTATATTTATTTATTTATTTAAGATAGTCTTTATAATACCTATTTATTGTAAATAAATAACTTAACTAATTTTTTTTAATCTACTCAAATTAGTTAACTAATTTTTATATTAATAACTAGATGTAGTAATTCGGATTTTGATAACTTATTCATGAAATATTGACAAGTTGTGTTTCAATTTTAATGAGGATTCTCAAATGCACTTTGAATATTGACAACTTCTCTCTCTCTCTCTCTCTCTGTCTTTTTCCTATAAAAAGAGAAGATTATACAATGAAGATAAGTGTTGTGGATTTAGGAGATTGGCTTAAGGTGCAAATTTGTTCTGAAAATTTTTACTTAAAAGTGTTGGGTACTTAAAAGTTTTTTTTGAAGTAAATTAATCTTAAAAATTTAAAATCATAGCAATATTGCTTTCTATCGTGAAAAAACTACTATTGTGAAAAAACTAACATTAACCAATAAAATAATAACGTTGACCTTTAGTATTTTTAACAACAAGAGAGTATTATTGCAATTTAAACCTGCAGAAAAAATTTGCTCCAAAAAAAATTTCAGGCAACCAACCCATGCTCCTAAATCCAAGGTGAAAACTTTAACCCTTGGAAAATTAATAAGACATTAGTATTATAGAGAAATGAGAGGAAGACAGATTTAAACAGAAAGTTGACATCATTTTTAATGGGCACTACAGTCACAATGGTCCAATGTGCTGCGGTAATCAGAATGGATAAGAAGACTCCGAAGCAATTCTTTTTGCATGTGACTGACATTGAAATGGTTTAAGGATACTGTGAATGTTGAAGCAACTTGGATTAAGTTAGAGCAACATCAATCTTAATAAGAGATGAAAAACAAGTTGTTCTTTAAGCATCAAGAAGTTATAGCTTGGTTTTTAATAAATTTTTTGAATGATTTTTTTTTAATGAAAAGTCAAATACAAATTACTCCCTACAGTCCATAACATGAGAAGTTGGTTAGCTTTTCTTACATATCAAAAAATAGAAGTTTAATCATTAAACGTGTTTTAAAATAATAAAGTTACCGTATTTTATCCTTAAAAATTATAAAATTACCTTTAATGTTATGCTTTTATTTTCTTTCATCTCTTTCCTATATTTAATAAGGATAAAAATAAAAAAAATTATATGAATTATCTTGACATCTCACATAGACTAGTAAGGAAACACACGACCACAAACAGGACAACGTACGACATCATGTAAAGGAGGCAAGACGCTTTAGGAGTCCCCTCATAAAACATCACACCATAGGCCTCACAATATTGCATACTCAAAAATATGGGCAGACTTACCATCCACCACACTAAATCCATAAATCTAAGAAGGGAACTTCATGGAGATTAAATTCTGGAAACTCCACAAAAGATGTTGACATGCAACAAACTGCAAATCTAACTAGAAAAAGTGTGCCCAACCATAATGCCTAACCACTATGCCAAGTTTCAATGAGATAGCTAGTTTTACGAGCACCAAACGCATAATCGTATGAATGGCGGTGATGAACACAAAAACTCCCAGTTTTCACCATTGAAGTTGAAGAAAACTGAACAATACATGAAGAACCAACTCTCTTGAAGTCATGGAAATCATCCTTATTGATAATTTCTTCCTTACATATTCACAAACTGTGATTGAAAGTATGACAAGTTGTTATTTGGCCAGTATTTGAATAAATAGTATTTCTTATAATACTAAAAAATAATCTTTGAACTAATATAGGGTTAGGTGATTGGGTTTAACTGAAGGAATTAGTCTCTCATAACATGCACGAACCAATGTTTGAATATTTACTAAAAAAATATGCTCACATTTAGTGTTTAACAATATGTGATTACCTTTAATAGAAGAATGCATGTACCTAGCAAAAAAAAAAAAACAATGTCTAAATTTTGACAACTTTATGAGATAGGAAATTTACAGCTTTTATGAAATTATCAACTTTCATAGAAAGGTTTGGAAACTAAGTTTATACTCCCTTCAATCCTTAATATAAGAGTTTGTTTGACTTTTATTTTGATCCTAAATATAAGACTACAATCCACTTTGTCTCATATTTATTTATTTCTTTTCAATATGATCCTTGCAATAATGATGTTCTATAACTAATGTACTTTATTAGTAAGAATATTTTAAGAAAGAAAATATCTATTTATTACAAATTAAATAACTAACCTAATTAGTTTAAATATCTATTTATTATATAATTAAATAACTAACCTAATTAGTTTTTTAATCTACTCAAATAATCAGCTAGTTTTTATATTAATAATCAAAAGTAATAATTATGGGCTGTTGGTTCAATGGTCACAAATGTTGGCCTGCTCGATGGTGTCAAAGCTCCACCACAAACGAGGGCAAGATCTTTTTTCCAAGGAAAATGAGGGGTATTTATATAATTGATGGTAAATTTAATTTCAATTGAATAATTTGGGCTTAAATAAAACTCATATTTCTTTGGGCTGTGGGCCTTCCCTGTCAATAAGCTGTTCATGGGGTCATGAATGGGATTCTTACCAATGCAATGGCAAATTGAAAAAACCTCGTAGGTCCAGACCTTGATATGAGCCCCATCTCTAGAAAAACTTCATCCTCATCCTCATCCCCTTTCCACGTCATCTCCACCAGGAGATTTTGATTTACATGGCCCAAAGGTATTATAAGATTATAAAATTTTATACTTAATACATTAATATTTTTATTTCGCGCACTAAGGAATTAATTTATAATCTCGCAGTGCAAGTTTACAACGTAAATTCTTCGGAGTTGCTTGGCAATAGTAAATTTAAATAGTGTGGGTTTTATTATTAAATCCTTATATGCATAATAATAATGAAAATTACCATCGGCAAAAAATAATAATGAAAATTAATTAATACGAATCGTGAGATTCAAGTATACGATTAAAAAAATGGAGCACTGGATTGACATTGTCACTCTTCCTTTTACACTTCAAATATAAAAGGAAGAGATGAGTTAATTTTATTTTTCAATTTTCAATCAGCTAGACGAAGTTGCAGAAGTGAACCAAGATGTTGCAGCTTGCTATTCATCGAGGTTTGTCAACTGATTTATATATGTTTTCGATGCTGTGAAACGATTGATGAATCACTGGAATGAGGAATCGTATAAGGATCATGTAAATTTTGATTTTGTGCACGTATATTTATGATTTTGCTTACCGCAGTGAAGAGGTTGAACAATTTGAGGCCCCAGATCTTTGCTTTGGGAAGTTACCAATTCTCCACGGCTGCTGAGCCATCTTCCGGGAAGGGTAATCCACCGGTAAGCCCAAGCTTTGTTTGGCTTCCTGGAATATCGAATTTCTAGATTGACTTCATTGAGAAAAGGAAAATAAAGGGTGCATTTATCTGTCTCATCTTGTGGTAATTGAGAAGAACCTCATGACTATATTTAAGCTTACTTGGCACTTGAAAAATACAATGGAGCGTCATTGCTGAGTTCTAAGCTTTTCTGGTGAACTATCATTAAGGGGGTGTTTAGGTGAAAAGTTTGCTATATACGAAGCAAGTAATTATGTGAGAGGAGCTTTGTCTTGACTTGCATGGAAACACTTTGTTCTTTTGGAGTGAACCAAACACCCCCTAGAATGAATCTGCGGGAAATCTTTGTTTTCCTTTTATTTGTATCCAACTTCCCTGTGTAATAATCTAAGGACAACTTAGCAATATCTAA